TGGTGAACAATCGAGGTAGAGTACTACGAAGAGCGCATTCAGACTTGGGGTGGGGTGAATTTAGTGGACCCATTCTCGATGAATCTGTTGTGTTTGATGAAACTCCTGAGTCAAAGCATGTCGAGAGGGAAAATTCTTTTAAAAAATCAGAAAACAAATCGGCAAGTTCGAAGTACGGGAACTCAGATTCCAATAAAGGAAAACCCTATAATATGATTATGTGGGTAGGGGCAACTGGTTACGGAGTTGCCTTGGATATTATACTTGTGCTAATTGCTCGACTAAATAAGTCCGTTCACTTCAAAAGGCTGAAACGTCCCTTCTCTACTGTGACCATGGTAGGAGTACTTGCAAGGGAAAGTATGTGGTTGTATGAAGAATTGAGCAAACCGCATCAGCTTCCACCTTGAGGACAAGGTGGATTTCGGGGGGTGAGTAATGATACGACACTGTCCAACACAATATACCATATGCAAGAAAAGGCTGAGGGCAGGAAAGGAAATTGCCAAAGAAGAAAATCAACAAACACACGGGTGGCTAATAGAAATTGTTGACGTAGATGTTAAAGTATATATTATAAATACGGGAAGCTAGGGAAAAGAGGAAGGAGGGGGGAAATTAGAAGAAGTCTCTGGGAGAGCTTGGACCTCTCAAAAGTCCAATTATCTTTTCATCTTGTATTTCATTGCTTTAATAGAAAAGTACCTAGCTTAGAGATTAGTTTTCTGCCATTAATTTCATTGTATCTTTCACTATTATATCAGTGCAGCAATATAAACCATAGTCTCATTGAGCCATTGAATCCTGTTCCATTTATAACTATTCTAATTCCCATGTTCGACAGCCAATTGATATAGGAACTTAACAGATAATTTGTGAAATCCAACTTTTCAAATATATTAGTAACCCTGACAAACAAAAAAAATTCACAAAATGTCCAGAATCGATCACACGAAGGAATAAACTTATACCCAGCAAAAACCTCCTTTCACACCACCCTAGTAAATCATGTGTTCCAACCTCCATTTTGCTGCTTTCACTAACTCCCACATGATGAAAAAGACACTTTTCAGCAAAAATGCCTCCACATGTAAGCAATTCTCCCTGAAAATTACGCCTATTTTGAAAAGGACTTAATAAAGAAACAACTGAAGTAGGAAAAGAAACTGACTTCATATGTGAACTTAATTGCCATCCCTTAGCAAATTTCAAGTTGATATTAGGAACTAAACTCAGATCACAGTGAAATCAAACGGTAAAAAAAAATGTTGGACCGCACCTTGGACTATATCTTGAATGATAACTTGCTATAGAAAGATACGTTAAAAACCCAACAGTAATTGTTTCAACTTCAATAAGCCAACATAGTCCTACCTCATAACCTATCTCTGCCCTAGTTTACACAAATCTCAACTCAGAGGAAATACTGAATACACTTTCCATGTTTATAACCTACCTATAAAACTACAATATTTGATGTGGTAGGAAAATAAAATTAACTTCTGAATCAAAAGAAGGAAACAAAAATTACCTTCCACTAAAATTTCATAGCTCCCTAATCGTAGAATTGTTTCCATCAACAAATTCCAATTCTTTATCAATCTTTTGACAAATCTTTCATATTTTCACGAGGAAGCATGGTATTAGCTCCACATGGTAACTTGTAAAGTTCAATATTTCACAGATATTAGAAACACTGACCATTGAAAAAATCCAATAGCATACAGAATCTCCCAATCACACAAAAGGAATAAACTTACATAGCCAGTTAAAACCTCCCCTTCTCACTATCCTACTAAATCATGCGTTCCAACACTCTTTTGCTGCTTTAACTAACGCACTAACTGAAAAAGAGGCTTGAAGTAAGAATTCCCCACGAGTAAGCAAATTTTCCCCAAGTTACTCTTACATTGAAAAATACTTATCCTACAAGGAATTAGTAAAGGAAAGCAAGTAATGAATAGCTAGGCTGTTCTCAAAGATCTGAGTTATGAGTTCCCGATTCTTAGAAGATGTTCTGTCAAGTAATTAGTATGAAAGGAGTGGGTAGTAATTAGTTGTAAAGGCGCTCTAGTCAAGGAATGCTTCTAAGCCCAGCCTTTGAATTCCATTCCGTAGTTCAGTCCTACACTCCAGAAGTATTGAAACTATTGAAAGCAAAGACCGCTCTCTTCGGCATTAAATCACCATCTTGATCAGTCAAAGGGATAGCAGGTGCTAGCGTAAATGTGAACTCACCCTTGTAAGAATTGATCATGGTAAAGGAAATTGTAAACTTAGAGCAATTTTGTTAAGCCACTAGATTGGTGCTTCTTTTTTAGAAGCAGCATAAACACGCATGCTCTTAATAAAGAAACAATTCGAGTAGGAAAGGAAACTGAATTAACTAGAAACATAACTGCCAACCCTTTATCTTTCATCATTTCCTTGGAGGGTATAACAAAGAAAATTTCAAGTTGATACGGAACCACACTTGGATCACAATGAAATCTCTCTCTTCCACAAAAAGTAAAAAAATGTCAGACTGCATCCCTGACTATTTCTTTAAAAGATAACTTGCTATAGCCTATTGAAAGAAATGCTAATAAAGTTTTTTTTGATGACCGTTTTTTAATTAATACATAAAAGTAATTGTTTTCAATTTGACAAACACAATCCTATAATAACAAACCAGATGATTCTCATGATTAAACCTATCTGCGCCCCAATTTACTCAATTCCCATGACTCGAAAAAATACAAAATGCATCTCCCTTGTTTACACCCACCTACAATGCAGTGACATGAACACGTGTGTCCAACACAATATGAGTCGGAGCACTGACATACGATTTTTCAAAAAACTACTAACACGAAATGTTGCTGAGATATTTATTAAATTATTTAAAATTCTTCATTTATATAGTATAAATTTAATTTTATACTTGTTATTACTTGTTGAAATCTTTTAAATATGCGTACATATTTAATAACTTTGAGTTAGAAATATAAAAAAGATAAATGATCGTGGTAGAATATTCGAGGAGTACTGGTATCCATCACTTGTCAGGTACGGATACACTACCCTAGTTGAAGTATACGGGCAACAAAGACACCACATATATAATATATTATTGACACAGTATGGAAAACACAAATAAAATTCTGAATCTAATCCATGGAAATCTACCCAATTTAAAATGTTTCCACCAGACTGCCTACGGGACGACAATAGCCACAAAGCTTCACCACCCATTTTTTAAAAAGCTATTCAAGGCTACGTTTTGAATCATGTCTCATGTGAGGCTTCCATAAAATGCCTAAAAATCTTATGCCTTAAGGATTATTTGTAAGGCGGTAACCTCAATTTACCGAGGCTTACACCTCATATGGGACTTATTTGCTACATTAAATGTATTTTAATTTTTTATTTGTTGCAAGTTTGACTTATAATTTTGTTAATTTTTTTACTATGGACTCTGATTATAGTTTACGTTTCAATATGAGCCTATTTTATATTTAGAGCATGTTTGAGCCCCATTTTTATTGAGAGATGCATTTTAACATAGTAGATTGATGGAGAATGTGCGATTAAAAAATAAGAAGAATTTTGAGTTTGCATGTAATATAATTTTATTGAAGAATGTATGATTAAAAAGAAGATAGAGGAAAACATATTTTAAAAATAATGGGAATTAATCAAAGGCTTAGAATTATTTTATTGGTTTGTCTCGAGACTTACTCATAAAATGTCTTGGTACCCAATTATGCCTTTTTAAATTACGCAATACCCTCACATGGGAAGAAAATCACATATGGTGCATTTGATTGCCAGCATTTTTCATGAAAAATGTGTTTTTTCTACCAAAATTCCTACTTTAGTATTGTTTAATTGCCATTTTTCCATAGAAAACATTTTCCTACTTTCGGTCACGTGGCCATATTTTCATTAAAATCAAGGAAAACATTTTCTTTATGAGAAGTAGAAGATTATTTTCCATGGAATACACTCTTTCTTTTTCTCTCTCTCATCTACCCACCAATAAAAAAAGACAAATATTATATTTTCTAGGTTGAAAATTAAATCAATAAAACATGTTTAATTGACATTTTTCATTAAAATAAATTCTACGAAATTAAATTACCTAGAATTTATTTTCTTTTCATACAAATTCTATGCTTGCAATCAAACGCACTCTTATTTATAACATTTGACCACATGGCAAATGCAAGTTAACTTTTTCACCATGGAACACAAAAGACAATAATAGCCATGCAATAACTTCTTACGTATTTTTATGACCTAACATATTTCAAAACTAAATACATTTAAGTTGTAATCTAGACTCCAAATCTTCTCAATAAATCCACCATACGTTTCAGCATTCCTGAAATTCTATCTAAAATTTCCATTTATCTTTTCTCCAAAAACCACCTATTTATCTTTAAACATCTATTTCCAAATCACGCAGACATATAAATGTATGAAACTGTAAATACAGAACATAAGAATCCTTTTCATCAGTGTGTGTTAGTAAGCACAAAAGATACTCATCCACTTTCAACCAGAGGGATTTTTTCAACTCCTGCTACTAAAATGTATAGCAGAAACCATCTCACCAATAGCTTCCCACAGCACATAATTGCACGATGAACTTTTTTGGGCCAGGGATAATCCATCATTTTACTTCCCATCTAACTTTCAACCACATTCACATACACGCAGTCGAAAATTCCAACACAAATTAGTGATAGCATTGAGGGGATGCAATACTTCAAGAAAATGATGAAAAATTTAAATTAAAAAAAAATCACAAAATAACCATCTATCATAATGGGCAAAATTTGTAGAAGAATCCTTTTTTAAAAAAACTTTAAATTACAAGAAAAAACCCAATATCAATACTCTCCGGAGACAAAATAATAATAAAAAATAAATTTAAGAACGTTAAAATAGAGTAAATCGAAACTTCAAATTAAAAATGATATTTTTATTTCTTAAATGTGGAGGAGAATACTCACTGGAGACAGAAAAATAATCTTCAAACTTCATGACTGAGCGAATTTTGTTTTTTTTCTACTGAAACTCCATAAATTGAACATGAATACCATTACTGGGTTTACACCCGGGGAAAAAAATGGAGAATTGCAGAGTGAAATTTGGGTTTTACAAAATGGAATTTAGGGTTCCTTTGAGACGATCGGAAGTAGATCAAAGAGGACAGAGGGGGAGAAGGGTATTGTTTGCTCGGTTGGGCCAATCCAATAATATGCGGCCCAAAACTTGTACAAGAAAGTTCTAACTTAAGGAGTGACCCAATAAATATTTATGGAGAGGTACAAAAGTACAATTTAGCACTTTGTGGATTTTTTTAGGGAAAAAATCGCATATCCCCAAGAAAAACAAAACAATTCATGAAATACTCTATACTAATTTATATACTATAAATACTTAGTATTGTGACAAATTAAATCAAAATTACTACACCTTAAATATGTCTAATATTTTGTAACTGAAACATGGCAATAGCCATGAATTTGCATATAATTAAATGAATTCCGTGATTAATTGCTTGATGAGATAAACATGAAACTTGCTATATGGAAAATGAAAACTTGCAATGTTTGATCATCTACAAGGTTAAGAACTTCACAAGATATTTTTTTGACATTATATTTGTAGTTCTCGATGTAAAGACGCATCATATAGTTTTTTATAAACTTATTTTTTGACATTATATTTATAATTTTTTTAAACATACACTTTTAGAAAAATCAATATGTATGATTTTCACTTATTCTCTAATGTGGCATAGGAAATCTTCCATTTTAATAAAGATGATTGTGTGTTATCGGATTATTAAGCATTCATCCAATGTTAATAAAATATTGGAAATTGCAGCATTAACATCTATCCTATTGTAATACTTTGAAAAAATCTTCATACCTATGCCCATTCGAAATTTACCAAAGAGCATAATGCTCGTCCATTACTTATAAACATGCATTTCAAACTCAAAACCCAATTTCATTAACAATAAGTATTCATCAAAATCAATTAATTCGAATGGAATACAGAATATTGAATGAGCCCCTGTTTGAGCCCCATTACATTAAATTTCATTACATTTCATTTTTCTCTATCCTATTTTTAATCACACAATCTTTCATAAAATAATATTACACGTAAATCGAAAACTTTTCATTCTTTTTCAACCACTCATTTTCAAAAAAACACTATTCCACCATTAATTTTTCCACGTAATGTGGGTCAAACAAGGGCTGAATTTAGCTCCTTAGAAATTAAAAAAATGCAACTGTCTCCAGTCCAGCATATAAGATCAAGCCTTATCACCATGTTGGATGCTTTACAAGCTTCTTCACTCTTTGATAATTTATTCAGTGGTGGTGATTGTTTATATGTCATTCTATCATGGGTGCACCCCTTGCTCCTTACACGTCTCATTTCTTGATCGCACTCTTGATTTGATTGTATTCTTTGCCTTTTTAAGTATCTTTGATTGTCATTTGGATGTGGGAAGAAATATTACGACCAGCTATAAACCTTATAATACTGATGAAATTTAGTTTCAATATCCTAAATTGGGAACATTAGACACCAATTGTGATAAATTAAATTTTCACAAGATCAAAGTTTTCAAGGAAAAATATAGCTTAAATACCAAATACAAATTCTAGCAAACCATTGGATTAATAGAAAATTGCAGTGCAAGAACAATCTTTATGCATTGTAAAAATTCAAATAGCGATTCATAAATTTTCAAAAAAGGAAAACGAAGAACCAAAATAGCTTTTTCGAGGGGGAAAATATACAATATAATTAATTCTAAAAACATAAAAAAAAATATCCAATCTTCTTCTTTGGAATCGAAGTCAAATCTATGGTGGACAACAAAGAACACAAGATGTTGAATCTTGGCTTTAGGGATTAGGGTTCGGAAAACAGAATTTGAATGCAATTAAAAGAAATTCTGATAAATCAATGAAGAAGGTAAAGCTTGAAATTAGGAATTTTGAAAAGGGAAAGATTTGGTGATCTAATTTATTGAGCACAAATCACAGGAAGCATACAAGATTTGGTTTTTCATTTTTTACTTACAAAATGTCAATATGTTTGGAGTATAAAATGTGGATATGTAATATTGGAATTAATAACTTAAATAGGGTACTCAGTGTAATTTACACATTTTGTTATCTTTCAGTGCTTCCTTTAATAAGAGGATAATAATATGGATAGTATTTATATTATATCATTTGAAGTGGATTCCATGTGGGTTATGAATAAATGTCTTGTCAAATTCTGACTTTAATAGAGAGTATTAAAATGAGTTTACATTCTTGTATTTATTTTTAAGATTGGGAGATAGTCTAGAACTCGAGAGAGCACCACTAAATTAGTTTAGACCTTACACTTACATATGAGTAACCATTTTTATTCTGAATCAACTGAATAGGATCATAGCCCCACCAAATTAGTGAATGCAAGTGTAGTTTAGAATAATAATTGAGTTAATGTGTCAATTTTGTGTATAGGTAGTCTTTTATTGAAAGGTGACTCGAACTTTTACAGGGAGTACATAGCAGGTTAATGTAGGGAGAAGTGCTTAAATCTGATTGATTTCATACCCTCTGTTCAACTATAAAATAAGATCTCAAAATTATTGAAAAAAGACTCGATTTTTCTCTATTAGACATTATTTAATGTCCCTCTTTTGCGTAGAGTTGACTTCGACTAGGCTACACTTGCCTAACATGCAAAGCATATGCCAATCCTCAGCTTCCTTAGTCAAATTTTCAGTTAAACTGCAAATTGCAGAAGTGAGCTATCCAAAGTCTACTATAAATATCCTAAAATGACAGTTCACATAGTTCTAATGTTTTTTCTCCATTAGAAGGAAGCCTTTTGTCAATCGGAGTTTTCTCGTGTCTTGTTTTTTGCTTTGTAACTAAACATGGCAGAGCAAATTCTCTTCAACTTTGTCGAAAGACTTGTTTTGAAGTTGGCATTCTGTGCTCTGAGCTAGATTTGGATTGGCATGGGGGTGTCGAAAAGGAATTGAAAAAGCTCGGAACGAGCATGACCCTTGTTTGAAATGTACTTCTGGATGCCGAAGAGAAGCAAGAGAAGAATCGTGCAGTGAAAGAATAGCTGCAATAAATATAGAAGGTGCCTGTCGAGTATATATTAGTATAAATTCAGTGGATAACAAAACTAGCACGAAGAGGAAGCACTTCGATAAATTCAGATGTTTACAATCTGTTAACTGCCATTGCAATTGGGTATAGATCTGGTTGGCATTGAGATGTCCGCCTGTTTCTAAGTTTAGGAACTTATTTTATTTGAGCATTGAAATACTCATCGAAGTTAACTGATTATTACAAAGACGCTGTTCTCTTTCAAATTTTATTCATGAAAGATGACCAGTCTTTCAACTTGATAACCCAACTTTGCCAATCCTCAAATAAACAGGAAAAGTGACAATCTTTTGGCTTTTCCCATCAGCATTCCAAGCAACCTTAAAATCCTCTAAAACAGCATCAGTCAATAGCTCCACACCCTTTCCTTTGGCAGTTTGGTAGGCAGACCATGATCTTATATATGTAAAATATCCATCCAAATCCATTAACTTCTCAGCCTTGAATTCAAATGGCCCAGTATGATCGACTCCATCAACTGGCTCAAATGGAAAATCAATGGTTCTGTATTTAAGATCAACTAAGTCTCGTTCTTGTTCCCAATACGGACCACTGTCGACGGAGTAAAATCTTCCAAACACAGAGTCGATCTGTGGGTCGACTTCTGGTACAGTGTAGCACCAAGCAGCAATTACTCCATTGGGTTTCTTCAGTATCCATTTCACTTGTTGGTAGAAAGTGGGAAGATCAAACCAGTGCATGGCTTGAGCAATGGTCACTAAATCAACACTGGATTGTAGTGCAATGGTGTGTTCAATCTCAGAAATGGGCATTTTGGGAGGTGTACAAAGGTATCTCACATTTGGAAGTTTGGCAGCAAAATCAAGTTGCTTTTGGCTTGTGTCTGTGCCCACCACATTCTTGTAGATCTTTGCTAACTGAAAAACAATACAGAGGTTCATATTAGGTCGATATATAATTTAACTGAGTCTTAATTCTTTAAATAAATTCTGAACCCACTTGAAGTGTCTCTTTTTCTACTACAATATACAATGAAATCGAGATTTTTACCATCATATCGAGTAATTGAGATTAGGGCTTAAAACCTAAGTCCCGGATCATAATTTGTGAAGAAAACACAAAATTAGCTCAAAATTTTGCAGTTCAAGGAGAAAGACTCACAGATGCTGCAGCCTGGCCACTTCCAGTGCCAACATCCCAAACGAGATCGTGAGATGGAGTTTTTGATGCAATGAATAGGAACAATTCCTGTGGATAACTGGGCCTTCTCTCTGAATATTGCTTTGCCTGCTCAATAAACAAATCTGCCATTTGGTGTGTATATGTATATGTATATATCTCAATGATCGACAGGATTGTATATATATAGGTTCTACTTGGGATGCAAGGAAAAAAGGCATGAACACTGAAGCTTCTTCAATTTTGACCAATCCTAGTGAGATGGGCGTGTTCAATTTCCCTTCCGGCAGTGGCCTACCTCGATTTACAACGTAATTTGTTTTTTATTTTCTGGCATTATTTTATTTTCGCCACAACATTATAGCCCCACTTTGGTTCAGTTATAAAAAGCTGATTAAAATCGAACTCAAAGTTAATAATGTATTTTCACACATTTCATGTTATTGAGGTCAATGCTTGTTCTGAAGCCGCCGATAAAGCTTAAAACTATAAGCGTGAAACTCAATATCTCAATTGCTTGGCGTATAGAGTTTAAGTTAAGAACAATGATTCTATTGACTCCTTTTCTTAATTCAGAAACTCCAATATATTATAAACATGGGGACACATTTTACTAAAACTCGACTTGATTTTAGATTTTTCTACATAAACAAAATTAACTTAAGCATCAAAGTGCCTTCAGCCAACCAACCTTCCATATTTTTCCGGCTAGTCAACTAGTCTTACACATTTTGTTTGCAAATTTCTACAAACTTTGAAGACATAAAAAGAGTTTCGATGTTGAAAATATTTTGACTCTACCATTTCATAAACTATTATAGAAAAAAAATGTTGAACGGTATTTATACAAAGTTTGAGTTTGTAAACAATTTTAACTAAGTTGCCAAAGAAAAATAGGAGACTTGAACTTGGCATCTTATCGTCGTCAACAAATTTCAATGGGCCATGCATCATAAAAACAAAAGCAAAATTGGTTTTGTAATTTGAATTTACTTACACGTTGTAAGGAGAGTATACTTAGAACATCCCTTATAGGACATTCATCCGTCCACTGTATTGTATAAACTTATGTATAGTTGTGAGAATCGATTCAGTCATGAATCTAGCCATACTATCGGGTCGTTGGATTAGTGTGTAATATTATTTAAAAATTTTCCTATCATCGTCATATCTTTATCTTTTTTACCTTTCTCAACTCCTCATGCTACTCTTCAACTACATACTAATATTTTTTTTGTTATTCTCAATCCAATTCCTATCATCATCGTTGCAAATTGTAGTAGAAACTACTAAATGGGACAAGTTCATTTGTACCGAAAGTTGTCCTCCTCTCACAATGCATGCAGGCCCCGCGTGAATATAAAAATTTTCAAATGTAGCCCCACCTCCTTTTGTGAGTAGTAGGTAAATGATTAAATAAAAAAATTATGTATATATAACATGGTCCCTACTAATAATGACAAAAGGTTGTCATCGTTCGAACCCTCAACGAACACTTGACTGTCATTGACCCTTCAGTGATATAATGCACACGACTAGTACCTTTTGTGGGGGAGCCCGTTGTCGATTACTCTTGCCAAGTTTTTAAACATATTTGAAAAGGTTAATATTTTCTATAACGTGAAAAAAAAATTATTTAATTTGATAGTATAGAAGTTACTTTGAACGCTTCAACCACAAAACATAGTCATGTATTATTTACGGTTCTATTTAAAGGAATATATGTAAGTACACATTAGAAAAAAAATCTACTTTTTCGTTTTTTTCATTGAAAAGAGGCTGTTAATAAAATTCTCAAAGAAAAATTTTTTGCCGTTACAAGTTAAATTTAAAGGAATGATTTACTCCCCATTTTGTTGAATATAGTCTCTAATTAATGACTTGTGATAAGTCTAACATATCTTGACATTGAAAATGGACGTTTGGGAGTACTTGTATTGCTTCAATACTTAATTTTGGTTGTATATTGATTATTTTAAGAAAAATCTGATGTTGGATGATATATGAAGAAAGGGAACGTAATCGATTGATAACGACTAAAAAAGAACAAATTACGGAATATGGGGATTAAGTTATTTTATAATTGAAAGATGAAGGATTCATAATGTAAATAGGAAAGGACTCGAGCTAAACCAATAGGAAAATTTAGGGACTAACTTGAACGGGAAGGAAAGCATTAAACCACGTGATGGCAGGGTTTATACTATACGCACACGAGAAGAGAAAATTTATTGCCAGTGTTCAAGGTGAATACTTACAGAAAAGAAATGTTGCCTAATTTAAGTCGACTTCTACATGGAATATTGTGATTCGTCCACAATTTAAAATAATCTTGGAACTATAAATTGAAATTCAGGTGATGTCTTAGTGTCTCTGTAATACCCAAAAAATTTGTACAATATATTATGAGGCATAACTACACTGACAAAAAGTGACCGAACAATTGAGATAATTTCTGCAAAAACTTTTCTTTCATTGTGTTCTCTATTGTGTATATATATGTACAGTCATTTAATGTATAAGGAAACTAAATAAATATAATCCCTAAAAATAATCTAATTGCCAAATATATCCAACTATATATACGGTAACATCCCCCCTCAAATTGATGTTAGGAGGTCAACCAGCAACAATTTGCCAACAAGGAATTGATGCCGCAGTCGAGTTAGTGCTTTGGTGAACACATCTGCCACTTGGAGATCAGAAGAAATGTAGGGAAGAGATATCACTCGATCCATCAAAGTATCACGAATAAAGTGACAATCAACCTCAATGTACTTGATGCAACATGAAATACAGAATTGCTTGCAATCTGAAGAGCATTAGTGTTCTCGGCATGAAGGGGAGTAGGGTAAGTTTGAGAAAACCCAAGTTCCTCCAGAAGACCACGTAACCAAATAATATATAAACAAGCTATGGACATAGCACAATACTCACCTCAGTAGATGGTTTAGAAACACAATCCTGTTTCTTACATTTCCAAGAGATCATTGCATCACCCAAAAATGTACACCAACCCGTAGTAGAACGATGCATATCCGAACATCCAGCCCAATCAGCATCATTGTAGGCCAAAAAGTGAAAAGAAGACCCTTTAGGAAAGAACAACCCACGAGTAGGTGATCCACGAAGATAGCGAACAATACGACGAACAGCTGCAAGATGAAGATGTCGAGGAAAAGACATAAACTGGCTAACCTGATGGACGACATAGGAGATATTTGGATGAGTGGTAGTCAAATAGATAAGACTCCCAACGAGGCGACGATATAAAGTTGGATCGTCTAAAAGATACCCTTCGTCTTTCTAGTATTTTACATTGACTTCCATAGGAGTATCCACAGAAGAAGACTCGTCCATCCCAGCCAACGCAATAAGATCCTGAATATTTTATGCTGGTTTAAGAAAATACCATTAGGCCGATGATGAACTTCCAGTCCCATGAAGTATATGAGCTGACCAATATATTTTATATGAAAAGTGGCATGCAATAATCGTTGAAGCTTCAAAATGAAACCACAATAAGTGCCAATGATGATAATATCATCCACGTAAATCAAAAGAAGTACAATACCCGAGGCAGACTTGTGGAAGAAGAGAGAAGAATCATACTGACTCTGTGTAAAACTGAAGGTAATGAGTGTGGTACGAAACTTTTCAAACCAAGCTCGGCGCCCTACTTGAGGCTTTAAGAGAACATTGTAGTCTACACATATTATGATAAGATGAAGTAGTCATACCAGAGGGAAGCTTCATATAAATCTCTTCGTGAAGATCGCTATAATGAAAGGCGTTCTTCACATCAACTGATGAATTTCCATGACTGGGAGGCAGCAACCACTAAGATTGTTCTAATTGTGGTCATTTTGGCAACAACAGTAAAGGCCTCATCATAGTCAACCCCAAATATCTGTCTGTTACCTAGAGCTACAAGACGAGCTTTATACTTATCCACAGAGTCATCAGAATGAAGTTTTATAGAGAAAACCCATTTACATCCAATAGGGTTCACATGAGGAGGACAAGGTACAACGTTCCAAGTATGATTCTCCTCAAGTGCCTGAAGTTCTGCTTACATTGCCCTTTGTCAATACTCATGTTCCATGGGCTCTTTGTAACAAGTGGGACTGAAAATAGCAGATAAAGTAACTACAAGAGAGATAGGAGAGGAGAAATCATACTGATCAGGTGGACGAGAAGGATGTATAGATCGACGAAGACATATGGGAGTTGTAGCAAGATTTGGAGCCAGGTCGAGATCTTGAAAGGGGCACAGAAAAAATGGCGCTAAACTTACGATTACGTCGTTCATACTCAAGTCCTAGTTTAAATCATGTTACAACATTTGGGGAATAAAAAAAGTTAGGTAGAATAGATAAAGATGTAGAGGGCAGCTCAACATGAGATGAAAAAAAATACTGGTTTTCAAAGAAAACCATATTCCTAGAAATATGGATACGTTAAGCATGAGGATCAAAGCAAACATAACCCTTTTGAGAGACAACATAGCTAAGAAAAGCACACTTAACAAACTGAGCAGTAAGTTTTTTATGTCGCTCACGAATAGGAAGATGTACAAAACAAACACAACCAAAATTACGTAGATCAGAATATGATGGTAAATGTCCAAGCAACCTAAAGTAAGGAGGAGCATGATTTAAAATAGAAGAGGGTAAACGATTAATTAAATGAACTGATGTGGAAAGTGCTTTACACCATAATCGAGAGGGAATGGATGCTTTAAATAAAAGCGTTCTTGCTATATTTAGAAGGTGACGATTCTTTCTCTCAACAACACTGTTTTGCTACGGCATCAAGGACAAGAATGTTGGGATATGATACTTTTGATTTGGTGAAAGTTCTGAAACTCATTTGACATGTATTCTCTCCCAAAATCAGATTGTAAGATCTTTATGTCACTAGAAAATTGAGTTTCAATGAGAGCAAGAAAACGCTTAAAAACTGAAAAGACCTCGACTTTGGCTCTTAAAAAATAAACTCAAGTAAAATGACTAAAATCATTATGAATATAACAAAGTACTTATAACATGCATGAGAAATAATAGGTGAAATCCCCCAAACATCACTATGAACAATATCAAAACATTGTGAGGCACGAGATCCATGATAGGAAAATGGTAGAATTTTACTTTTGCAAAATTTTGCATGCAGTATAATAAAAAAAATGATCAGAAGAACATCCTTTATTACCTAATAAATTAGAAGGAAATAAAATACGAAGTACATCAGAGTTCGGGTGGCCTAAACGTTTATGCCACAACTTATTATCAGTA